AAGCAAGGGAGGAGCTTAAAAAATTAAATAGTGAGCACTTCTGGATGGACCGCTAAGGTTAATACTTCAGTTCTGGAGGGCACTTTAGGGTATGCGGCTTTGCAGGAAGCCTCTCGGCTGGGGCTCACAGCGAGTGAGCAAATTTATCTTCCGTCTGGGATGAGATGCAGCTGAGTAAGCCTGCCATTCTGAGCATCTACAACTGGTGAACCGTTTACAAGACTCATAAACAGACACAATTTATTTGACATATTTTGTCAAATAAAACTACTCTGAGGCAAAAAGAAAGCATCTGAAAATATTTGAAGCGAAATATTTACTCGTCTCAATATAAAAATAATTAAAATGGACAGCATCCTCCATTTAACTGAATTTTCTCCAAGTTTACCAGTTTTCTCAGCGTCAGGAGGCAGAATGTTTTCTTAATTAAAAAATTATGGCCTACAATGCAGGGCCAATGGAAAGAATTGATCATTTAAAATTTATTAATAACATGCCAGTCTGAAAAAAACTGCAGGCAGTTTCAGGGGAAAATCTGAAAGTGTAAGATGAGGTTAAAAAACTTACATTCTTTAGAAAAATTCAGTGCTGCAATATTTAAGAGAAATATATCTAAGAAACCAATGAATACATGTGAACTCACACAAAGCAAAAGTCATTACATTTACCTCACTTTGTATGTTCAAGTCACCAATGTGAAGTTGTTTTATTTGATGTGCCCAGATATTTATTATAATTTTAAGAAGACCTTTACTCTTGCAATTAGTTTTTGAACAGGACAATTTTGTGGCCCATCAATAAAATCAATTTGCCAATACCTACGTGTTGTACAAATATGTAACTTTATTACTTTTGTTCCCTTTGTATTTTCCGAAGAGCCCCAGTCTGAGTGGTGTGCTATCTCGTCGCCATCACTACTGGGTTTGCCGTGAGCAGAGCTCACGGATGCAGAAGGACGAAGCTGTTTTGTATTCCCGTGTTTTCTGCAGTTAGTCGTGCTCATCAGCCGAGGACAGGTGAGCACAGGGGACGTCTTCGAGCTGGGCGGGCTGCCCTCTTCTCTGCAGTCATCATGGAAGCGATGGCCAGTGCAGCTTCTGTCAGGGTGCATCTCGGCGGAGGCACAGCTCCAAGCAACGTTATGTAAGAAGCTAGTGACAGATAGATGCGCACCTACATCCTTATGCTTTTAAACCACTGAGATTTTGGGAGGATTTATTACTGTAGCAAAATTTAACTTACTCTAACTGATCAAGCTGTTTAATAAGTTCACCTCTTAACTAATCCCGAGGCAGATTATAAAGCATGGTATTAAATAAAAAGACAAGGGAGTGGGTCAAAGGGAAACTAGGGATCTGAAATAATGTCGGAGGTGAGCTCAGTTCTGAGAATGCTTTTCTGTGCAGTTTGCAGAGCTGGGGCTTGCCTATATGTACAGTCTTCTCGGCAGCCGAGGCAAGGAACAGTGCTCCTAAGACAGCGATGAGCAGGGTGCTTATAGGGAAGACCTCAGACCAAGATGGGACACACACTGCACAACTTTCCTTCTGTAAATAAACCAGACTTTTTAACACAGTTCTTTCTTACACTATGCAATGCAAGCAGAAGACACAGCTGCAATGCTGAGCTCGAGGAGACAGATGGGAAGCGATGGTTTAATACGGACCAGACAAACAGCTCTCAATGGCCTGGTCTAGTTCAACATCAGCGTCAGGGACTTTGCCACATGAGTATGTGGTCTTCAGCCTTTTCTTTTCATCGGGGGTCTTTTAGTAGAACTTTTTTTTTTGTCTTTTTGAGACAGGGTCTCGCTATGCAGTTCAGGCAGGTCTTGAGCTCACTTTGTAGCCCAGGCTGGTCTCGCTCTTGCAAACAATTCTCCTGCCTCAGCCTCCCAAATGCTGGGATTCCAGGCGTGCGCCACAGGCTCGGCTTTTTAGTAGAATTTTTATGGGAGGGTTGTTGTTTGCTTGTGTATCTGGCAAGGTCCTGGTGCAGAATCAGATTTGGCTTCTATTTTCCATAAGATTCCACTTCAGTGGCAGGCAAGACATATGAATAGACACCGCGGCAGAGAGTGAATTAAATACAGCAAGACCTATGCGCTCAGCGTGTCCTGGGAAGGGCCTCGGCTCTCCTGGGTGATCGCTGAGTCACTCCCTGGGAGGATTATGAGCGGCCCCAGTGGTCTATGTCTTGGCTCTACTAAGGTGCTTGGCTGCTTGGCGTCGGTCTCTCACCAGCTTCATATCCAAGAACCATCCAAAAGGCCTGAGGGAGGAACACGCTACGTCGGATAAGCCACCATGTCAATTAAACCAGCTGTACCCGAGGCAGCCAGTCTCCAAGTGAGCTCAGGGAGAGGGACCTCCGCCAGGGCTGGAGAAGCCTGTGAACCGGTGACCCCAACACTGGAATATTTGCAAGAGTCTATTTTTGTTTCAGATAAAACCAGAAACAAAGAGCCACTTGGGGAGGCTCTCTGGGAGACTGATGGTGGTGGAACGAGCCACGGCTCACCGGGGGAGCGTGCAGGGGCTCTGGGCGTGCTGATGTATTTCTCTGAGAGAGACAGGCTGTTCCTTTGGGACAGGCAAGGGAGAGAAGTTCTGTCCAGGCCAAGTCCCCTTCCACAGAGTGCCCACGGGCATCTGCATCTGTCCATCTGCCTGTGTCACTCCGCACCCTGAGCCCCAGCAGGCACACAGCTGGTGTCTGGTCTTCTGGTTAGTTAAGAGGGGACAGCAGAAGGGCCAGGTCCTGTTCCCTGGGTTGGGGGAAATCCACAGGCAGAGCACATCAAGGGATGTGCAAATTGAAAGCAATTTGAAAACAGGGCCTGGGGATTTCCTGTGTTGTTAACTCATCAGCCACTGGAGAGGAATGCTTTCTCCTCACAAGCTTTCTCCTAACCAATCCAAAGCCATTCCTGGCAAGTCCACCTGAGGCTGGGCTTGTGCTGTAGTGCTGGGAGGATGAGGCACGAGAGGGGACGTGGCTCTGCTTTAGGGTCTTGTATCCAGGGCTCAAGTGGGAGGAAGAGCCCTCATCCTGGAGGTACACCTAACTCAGACCCCATTTCATGTCCAGGAACCACTGTCCTTCATCAGCTCCCTCTACTGATCAGAGACCTTGCGAAGCATTGCCCAGAGGAGCGGAGACAGATTGGACACCCTGAGCAGTGAGGGGCGGGCCAAGCTCCTTCCAGCCTGTTCAGTGTCCGTGCTGGTGCAGGGCACACGGCTGTTTCATGCACGTGCTTCCCAGCCTGAGTCTGTCTGAGAACTGGGACATGGACTGGGTTCCCAGGGGGACCTGCTGGCCCACTCATGGTGTCTGGGAAGCATGTCAGGGTTCTAGCAGGGCTGGAAGGCAGGGAAGACCCTCGGTGAAGAGGCACAGCATAGGACTTATCCCAGCTGCACGTGTTGATCGGGAGTCAGATGTACTTAATGGGCAGAGTTTTCAGATAAGTGGGAAGAAGCCAGCTTCCTCAAAGCTACTGTGAGAAAATCAGCACGGCGTTGGAAAAAACAGAATACAACACCTGAGAATCAGTGGAACAAAATAGAAGATGCAGACACAACTCCAAATACACTCAGCCACCTTGTCTTTGACAAAGGAGCCACGCATATTTACTGGAAGAAAGACAGCCTCTTTAATAAATGGTACTGAAAAACTGGCTTTTCATAAGCTGAAGACTAAAACTGTCTATCACCATGCACTAAACTAAAGTCAAAATGGATCGAAGATCTAAATATTAAAACAGAACCACTAAATCTGCTGGAAGACAAAATAGGTAGATACCTTGAAGACACAGGTGTAGGCAGGGATTTCATGAACAAAACCCAGACCATATAGGAAATACTTCAAAGAACCAGCAAATTGGATCTCACCATATTAAAACCTTTTGCACAACAAAAGAAATCATCAACAGAATGAAAAGACAACACACAGAGTGGGAAAAAATTACAGCCAGTTGACCCTCTGACAAAGGACTTATATCTATAACATATAAAGATTTGATCCCCAAATTTAAAGTCCCAATCAAAAATGGGCATCTGAAATGAATAGGAACTTCTCAGATGAAGACATACAAATAGAAAGTAAATATACAAAAAAATGTTCAACATCACTGGTCACTCAAGAGATGTAAATTAAAACAACACTGAGATTCCACCTCTCCCCAGAAAGAATGGCTACTATCAAGAAATCAAGCAATAAAAAATGCTGGAGGGGCTGTGGGGAAAAAGGAGCCCTTCTCCACTGTTGGTGGGAGTGCAGACTGGTGCAACCACTGTGGAAATCAGTGTGGAGATTCCTCAAAAAACTAGGATGAGAGGTCCCATTTGACCCAGCTATTCCCTTTCTGGGTGTCTTCCTCGAAGAATTAAGAGCATCACACCACAGCGATACATGTGCACTCATGTTTATAGCAGCACAATTTGTAATAGCTAAGTTGGAAACAACCCAAATCCTCATCAACCAAGGAATAGATAAAAAGGATGAGGATTTTTTTAATGCAATGGAGTACTACTCAGTCATAAAGAAAGATAAAGTTGAGACTTTTATAGGTAAATGGCTGCAACTCAGGACCATACTCATAAGTGAAGTAAATCAGATTCTCATGTGTAAACATCTCCCCGCTGTGAGAAACAGAAAGAGTAAGATTCCAAATGTATAACTGATATTGTGAAATGGGGAGACACTGTCCAAAAGGAAAAGGAACTAGGTTTGGAGGAAGGGAAAAGAAAGCAAAGGAAGGGGAGAAGAGCTGTATACACGCAAGATAGTTAAGATAGTTATTATGTAGCTAGTTTTTCTTAGTTAATTGAAAAGGAAGGTTTGCGCTAATATTGTTTGGACAGTATTTCATGCCTGTGTCTTGCACTCTGAGTAACTCCTGTGAGCATAACAATATGCAATGTATTTGTTACTATTCTCCTATTAGCTTGTTTCAAAGGTCTATTTTATTTATTTATTCATTTTTCTCTTAAAAGGAAAAGAGAAGCCCGTTTCTGGCCCGAGCCTCCGGGCGGGAGTGGGAAGGTAGGCGATCCTCACCCGGGGATCGGAACCGGCTTCAGGAGGTTACTATCTGGACACCCGAAGAGCCTGCCTTCCTCCTCGCAGGAGCACCGCGGGGCTTGGTGCCGAGAGAGGCGTCTACTGTTTCGTCACTTCTGTCTCTGAGTGGTCTCACGCGTGCCTCGCCTCCCCACGAAGACGTTGTGACCGCCACTCCCTCCCTCCCCCGGCCAGCATTCCCTGAGCCCTCTGCCGGCTTTGGGCTGGCAGCAGGCCATCAGGTAAGTCAGGAGGATGCTGCCTTGGGGTGCACACAGCACGGTAGGGCAGAGGAAACCGTAGCGCCCGAGCGGGGCTCTGGCAGGCAGGAGGAAGGACGTGTTCCGAGGTGGCTCAGCAGGGTGGCACCTAGTGGGCACTCTTCGGAGCAGACGCGGTGACCACTGCCTTCACTGCCAGTAGGACTGGGCCCTAATATGCTGGCACAGATTATTCCAGATGCTTCTGCAAGGGTATTTAAAAAATGATGATATTAACATTTAATTGAAATAATTGCATGGTAGGTTTAGAGTATAGCAGATTCCTGCCAGGAACATGGTTGGGCCTCACCTAACCAGTTGGAGGCCCTTGGTGCAAAGCAAGAAGGGATCCTGCAGCCAGTGGCCCGTGGACCCACACTGAACCTCATCCGCAGGTCTCCTGAGGCTGCAGAGCTTGACCAGAGTTTGGTTGCTTTTGCTTGACCATTTCTTAAATCTCTCTCTTGATATATGTGTGTATATCTATCTACCTAGGTACACACACGTAACACAGACACACACAAATGCACACCGCTGGTTCTGTTTCTTAAACTTTGACTCACACATGTGTCAGTGGCCGGGGAGGCTGTTGGAGAGCCTTGGTTCACCCCTGTGAGCTCCTAAGCTACCCACGAGCAAAGAACATTCTGGAATGTCAGGCTCGCAGACCCAGTTTGGGGTTTGTGAGGGTTGCAAAAGCCTTGATTTCAGAGATAGCGGAGAGTGTCACGGATAAAAGCTTTTCCTGTGGAATGTGAAAGCCACAGAGGATGAAAACTAAAAGTGTTTTCTGTGCAGCTGCAGAAGGTGCTGAATCCTAGAACCAGGACAAGTTACTTACAGTTTCCAGTGAGAACAAAACTAACGTCAAATAAGCAAGCGACAAGGACACCAGACGTTAGGTGGCCGCATTCTTTCTAATCCCGAGACCCGAAGTCAACTGAGATATTTGTATCGACCACCATGATTTTGCTTCTCTAAAATAATTAATACTATTTTTTAAAATATGGAATGTCAACGCACTGTAGTATTTTCCCACATTCTTACTCTTGCTGTTATTTTTCCAGGGGAAAACCCACATGAGAAAGTGGGAAGTTCACCCACCTTTCACTCCTCTGGGCCTCGGTAGAGGGAAGACTCCACGGCAGCTTCCGGGTGGGTCCTTCGAGCCCCTGAGAGCCACTGCGGTGGTCCCTGGTCCCGTCCTGTTCACAGGTTTGTGAACGTCTGCAGTTTTAAATTGCTTCCTGGCTGATGCATCTGGAGCAGTTTCTGTTTTCCTGACGATTTGACAACACAAGGGCTTCCCAAAACAGACCTTTGGAGATGGGTTGGCTGGGATAGATGTTAGGCTTAGAGACAACGCGGGTTTCTGTGTCAGTGGAAAGTAAAATACTGACCATGTGCGGCCTGCAGTGGCAAAGGGTTTGCAAAGCCACCTGAATTTGTAGGGAAGAAAGCACCAGTGCAGGACACGCCTTTGCAGGTTGAATGGCCGCTGGCGCCAAAATCGTGGTGATAAGCATCGAGTGCGCACTGCAGGGTCAGAATCGGAGGGCTAGCTCTTCCCAGTGCGTAGCAAGGGAGGATGGCTTATCTCGGAGTGCGGGCTCGGAGTGGTCAGGGAGGGGGACCCCTGCACTTCGCTTAGTGCTTCGTGTGTGCTGGAAAGCTTGATGGTGAAACTGTAAATACCCGTACAGCGTGGCTCCAGCTCTCCCAGGTCTCAGGTGCAGACACAGACAGAGGCAGGAGGTTGGAACGGGGACCCCTGGGTGGACCTAGCTGAATTAGAGGGTCCCCCTCGCTTCGCAAATCTCCTGTCCCGCTTTGCTGTGAGCAGAAGCCTTCTCCGCCACTCTGGGGCGCTCCCTCCCTCCACTGAGAAGCTGGTGACAGGACCTGACAGCTTCTTATGACATGGCCGAGGCTACCCTCCTTGCCTTTCTTTGCTCCCTGGTGCATAGCCAAGTTAGATGTCAGCGTGCCCAAGGGTGGCGAGAACAAGTGCGCCCTGCAGGAGAGGCATCCATGCCAGAAGAAGTACGAGGTGACAGACAAGGAAGGAAGCCACCAAATGTTAGATTGGACTGATGTATCAAGATGCAGGTACTCATCAGAGACCCTTAATTTAGAATTGAGCAGCTTGGAGTGGCTCCAAGTATTTTTTGTTTTGACTTAAAACTGGGCTGGGTGGTGGCTGGCACTGAGGGAGACCAAGCTGTCAGGGAGACCAAGCTGTCAGGGCGTTGTTGGTGCATTGCAGACAGAGGAAACCCCATTAAAAGGGTAGGAATGTTGGAATGGACCCCTCCCTCTCCTGCGTGCGAACACACACGTCGATGATCTGGTGCAACAGTATCCTCTTTACCTGTGCATTTCGGAGACATGATGACCTGTCCAAGCCTCCCACCTGGCTGGGAGTGGAGCTGTGATCTGAAACGTGGCCTTCTGACTTCAAATCCATTTTCTTTTCCAAGTCTTGCACCGCTCGCTGATTGGAGTGTGACGAGGCTGACAGGAGGTCCTCTGCCTTGTTCTCGGGCTAGCTAGTAAGCAGTGGTGGCATCCTATGAAGCACAAGTAAAGTTGTCATGGCCAGCAGACAGCTCCAGTCCTCTTTTACCCTTCAGGGGCAGCCTTGGCCATCTGACAGCAGTCCCAGACCCTGGGTCTGTGGCCAGAGACTTGATCGATCAGTATTGGCCAAGAGGACGAGGATGGATCTTCTTTCAGCCTAGGTAATTCACAGACCTGCGAGAGGAGGGTGTGGTGACTAACACTCCAGGTTCTGATTCTTGAACCCTGAAGTCTTGGGAGGAGTAAGATTAGGGGTGGAGATAATGAGCAGGAGAGAGGAGAGGGGGACCTGGGAGCATGGTCAGGACTCAGGCTCAGCAGGGAGTCTGAGGACGTATGAGAGGTAAAGAGAGGGGGTGAAGGGGAGTATGGGGAAAGAGACAGATAGACAGACAGACAGACAGAGACAGAGAGGCACAGAGAGACAGAGAGAGACAAAGAGACAGAAGTAAGAAGTCGGAGGAGGAGGAGGAAGATGAGGAAAGGGAGGAAGAGCAGGGAGGAGGGTCACCATCGAGCCTGCTTTTCTTCTAAGTCAGGGCAGAGACAAAGCAAACATTCTCCTCATGTTCTCTAGGGTGGAATGGGCATAGAACCACTCCACTGTGTTACAGGGTTCTTAGTTACATAATGACTAAGAGCAGATAAAGATCCAGCCAAAGCACAGAGAGCCGTGGACCCAGTGCTCATAAAGCCCGTAGCCAGGCGCAGGGCTTGGCTGCCGACCTGCTCTGGGCGATGTGGGTGACAGGGCCAGGCCCCAGCAGCCTCCAAGAGCTCCGAGGAGGAGGTGGGGGTGTGGGGGGAACAGCAGAGAAGGCCAGCCCTGGCTGCCAAGAACAGCAGGTTGCAATACTTAATGTCCACGCTCATGCCAGTGTGCTTAGGAACTGTTGTTATTTTTATGAGAAAAATGCAGAAAGGCTAATCTGTCTATTTATGTCTGTCTGGACACGTGTAATTACCGAAGGGCCATTCTGGTGCCAGCACTCAGCTGTGGCTCTTCTTCTCCCATCATGGCTCCGGGAGGCTGGGCTCCATGGCCTTACTCAGGAGCCTGCAGAGGACCGGGAGCACCGGAGGGACAGCCAGCCAGCCAGCCAGACGTGATTGGAGACACCAAGATCATGGGTCAACACTTTTATCCATTTTAGGTGTTTTGGCAAGGGGTAACTTGAGGATATTTTCATTGAGTCTATGACTGATGTCAAACGCAGTCTCCATCCATCCATCCATCTACCCACCTTCCATTCGTCCATCCATCCTTTGAGCGAGCATGTCCCACTAGATACTTGCTGGGACCTGTAGCTTCAGGACTAAATAAGACAGGGTCTTTCCACTTGAGAGACTGAAGGTGCACAGTGGTAGACATGCCAGCCACAGAGCCCAGGAAAGTGCCACAGGGGCCACGGTAGCCTTCCACAGGCAGGGGGACGAGAGGAGGCGGGGAAGCCAGAAACAGCTTTGGAGAGCAGGTGAGGACGTTTTTTGCAGGGAGGCTGCCACCTCTGCAGTGCTCAGGGTGGCACTGACTCCTGGATCTATGACTTCTGAGGGCATCTGAAGTCTGTGCTCTGCTGGGGTTGGGGTGGGGCACCATGGCAGGATGACGTTCCTCCGCTGTTAGGTGTGTCTGGTGACCTGTGCGGCCGTTCCCCTGAGAGTCCAGGCTGGCCACGTAGTGCTGTGCTCCGAGCAGGCCCTGCAGGTCCTGGCTTCCCGCCTTTGCTGGGTTGGCTGCTGGTTAGGCTGCTCCCTCTCACACGTCCATGCTCTCTTTGAGATCACATCGTCACCCCAGGGGCTCAGTGATCAGAGGCACTAAGTGTTGAAGAGCCCCTTCTGCGCCCAGCTGCGTGGCCAAGCTCTGAGGTGGGCACAGGTGGAGATCGTGGTGGCCCGTAGGAAAGGTACAAAGCTGGTGAGGATTGTTGACTGGAGCAAGGTGACAACATGCCACTCAGCTCACAGCACACACCACAGACAGCTGAGGGGATTGTCAGTTACAGGAAGCTAGACCAGGCAGGTCACGTGACACCCACCTTTCTCATTCTGGGGATTCCTGAACCTGCTGCTCTGATTTTCTCCATGTTTTGGAGGACTTGCTTTTTCTTTTGTATTTTTATTTTAAAAATAACAACAAAACAAAACAAGACCAAAACTTTAGGGTATTGAAACAAGATAAGGGAGTAACAATAATTAATATGTTGTTATTGTTATCTTCAGTTCTCAGGGTACAAGACATCTACATGACAATATCAAACAATATTAGCGCAAGCCTTGCTTTTCAGGGGACTAAGAGAAACTTGCAGTATAACTGCCTTACCTGTCTTGTTTATCTGTCAGCTGTCTGTCTGTCTGTCTATCATCTCCATCTTCTGTATTTTTCAGTTCCCCTTCTGTCCTTTTTCCTCTCCTCCATCACAGCTAGGACTCACTTCTTCAGTCTCTCTCTGGGCCATTGCAATCAGCACGGATGGCCCCGAGGAGCCCCAGGGACGGAGCTAACTCCTTGGTAGCAGGAGACTGTGCTCAGAGGTGGCGGCACAGGCACTGGCAAGGGCGGCCAGTTGGCCCTGCTTCTGGGCCCAGCTGGGCCCAGCTGGGCTGCGACCATCGGCCTAGTCCCGGCTCCTTCCAGCTGACCCCAGCCTAACCCACGAGCTGGCCGCGAGCTGTCTGGACCCGGGCCGGCTGTGCAGTCCCCTGCAGATCCGAGGAGCTGTGCAGTGCTGGCTGGGCATGTGCAGGGCACTGAGGTAGGTTTGCCTTCAAGCAGGGAGTGGGATGCCCTCCCACCCGGCCTCTGCTTTCCTGAAAAGGGGTGAGGCTGGACTCCACGGCCCTAGAGGCTCTGTCTCGCTGTACAGGGCTGAAGACTTCGGTGCAGTGGGTGGTCCACAGCAGTGCTGAGGACATTTCAGACGGGGAGATGAGATTCATTACTCATTCTGTCCACCTTCCCGGAAATACCGCGGCTGGTGTCAGGCTGGCTCAGGGCTCGGTGACTGAGATTAGGCTGGGCATGGTACGAGCAGGGAAGCGGAACACCCTACTGTTAGTTCGTTTTTCCTAGAAACCTTCCTAGAAACCCATTGCTGCCTCGAGGTGGCCCAGGAACTCAGGCCCAGGTGGTGTCGGTAGGCTCCCTGCGGGTGAAGCAGGCTTGGAAAGCTCCCCAGAGGAGGTAGCAATAGGGAATTTAGGCAGGGAAGGGGCAGAGTAGCTGGAGGGGGACAGGGCACAGCAAATTCCTCTGGGTTGGCACAGTAAGGAAAGGGCCAGGAACCGCATCATGCATGTTCCCTGTTGCGCTGCTGTGTCTTGAGCACCCCAAGAGTGGTGCTCTCTCTGTAGATGATGTACAGTCGTGTCACAGCCCTGGGGCTCAGACTGTACCAGGGCCGGGGCGGGCAGGGATGGGCAAGCTGAGGCCCGAGGAGTCACCACCGTCAGAGGGAGAGCAGGGCCGGGTTTCAGAGTGTGGATCCTTGCTGTGCCCAGTAGTGTGGAGGTCCTTCCTGAGCCTTCGCCTCCCTGCATTTTTGGGCTTCTGTTCTGAATCCTCCCCAGCTCCCTGAATTGCTGTGCCCACAGCACCCTGCGCACCCAGGCCCCTGTGCCACCTCCTCCTG